GATGCATCCACTCCTTGTGACTTATGATCTCCGATGAAACTGTTTTGTTTTTCTTTATTACTCCTTTGTCTCACACCTCTACTCACTGTCTCTATTATGCTTTTCTTGTACGTTCTTCTCTTGCTTCGCGTGCTACACGGAGTGTGGCGACTTGAACTGGTGCACATTTGTGCAAAGTTCTATGTCGAAAACAGACAGACAGACAGACCTTTGCTCAAAACAGCTGACATTTTGTGTGATTACATTTCCACAAACAATTTTTTCCTCCCTTTCCGTCTATCTATCTTATTTAAGGGATTTATTACGTCTGTGCACTAACAATGTTAGGCTTACATTTGAAGGGGATTACTTCCGTCAAGTTTATGGTGTTGCTATGAGAACTCCGTTAGGGCTCCTTTTAGCAAATATCTATATGTCATACATTGACAGTTTATCGAAGGATTTAATCGAAAATTTGCCACTTTATAAAAGGTATGTAGATGATATTGTAATCATAAGTGATAAGTTTTATTCTGTCATCTCAATTTTAAATTGAATGAATCAAGTGCAGAATAACAAGCATATCACTTACATCTGTAGAAGAGGAAGATAATTGTTTATCTTTCCTAGACATGTTGCTTAGTCGACGGCTGGATGGGTCGATAAAAAGATCCATTTATAGAAAACCTACCTGGACAGGACAGTATCTTAATTACCACAGTTTCTGTCCTGTTCGGTACAAAAGAGACAAAGTGAGTGAGATGCCTCTTAAGGAGAATCTAACAAATATACACTGAAGACACCCTTGATGAGGAAGAAAGAAAGATGACACAAACTCCGGTTGATAACAATTATCCAGACAAGTTCATCAGGAGATATGAAGTGGTCATGAGAACAAGACACATTCTCCAACTCACAGCGAAGAAAAAAGTACGCAACAAGCTAGACAAAGATTGAACCCTGCTTTTATGCAGCTAATATCATAATAATTGAGAACGTGAAGCCAATATATCCACCATCTAAGCCCTTTGAACATGCGAAAAAGAATGATGTTACATCCCACTGTATATACCAATTTGAATGTACGTGTGGACATATACACAAAGGGAGGACTCATCGATCTCTGCAAGTAAGGGATGGCTTCAGACCATATTCCTAAAAGGGCTATTTCAGAACTAAATACAATCCTCAGAACCCATTAATGGTGAGAACAGAAGACCTAGCTCCTCTATTGCGAAACATATTATAGAGACAGGACGTAAAATTGACGTTAACACATCTTTTAAACCTATCTGTAAAACGTGTTTGGGGTGTATCCTAAAGTTTTTGGAAGCCCTAGCTAGTAATCAGAAAGTTTAAACCACCTTTATACCTTCAAAAACAATTCGTCATCACACTAAACCTATCTTACTTGGTCGACTTTGTTTTGATGGCGGCTAGGGTAGATGTACTATTACCTCTGTTATTTGGTTGATGGATCTTCATTGTTATTTTGACCTTCCATATGTCTGCTTAACTTGACCTAAATTTATTTTCTCACCTCATAACTTTTTATTAATTTCATATATATTCCTATGATAAGTCCGTGTGTGCGATTAGATTGTTCGAAATGTGTTGCGCAAATACAACATTACACGATTCAGACAAATTACGTCATCTTATTGCTTTGTCTAAAAGTCTACGTTAAAGTTAAACTAACCCGCCACAAACTCGAAACTGTTTAAGTGACTTATGTATTCGCCTTTGAAACACAAAATAGGCGAGTTCTCTGTCTCTATGACAATGTTACATTTACATGGTGAAACAAATCAACCGAATTTTCCACGTAAAACTAAGCGAAAAGTGTGTAGCAGTTCGAGTTGACATGCTTCATTAAGGCATACACAGAGAAAGGGAGAAGACGATCAGTGAAAATACAGTGTAAGGGAAATAGCAAGGGGGGGGATAATGAGGATTAAATGAATTCGAACGACGAAAATAAGCGAATATTTTATGTTAGTGTGTACAATTCATCGCCAATCAGTCCGTTGGTGCTAATACAACTTCCCAAGTAGGTGAAGTGGTCAACATGTTCTATCACTTCACTCCCTAACTTAGTGATAGGGAGTGAAGTGATAGAACATGTTGACCACTTCACCTACTTGGGAAGTTGTATTAGCACCAACGGACTGATTGGCGATGAAATCTCAGCACGGATCCGAAAAGCTCGAGCTGCTTTCGCTGACTTACACCATCTCTGGCGTAGGCGTGACATCCGGTTATCAACCAAGGGACGTGTGTACTGCTCATCAGTTCGCTCCGTCCTTCTCTATGGCTCTGAAACATGGCCAATACGCGTTGAAGACATGAAAAGGTTGACTGCTTTCGATCATAGATGTCTGCGATCTCTGTCTCACGTTAGGTGGTTTAATGAGATAAGTAATGCTGACGTTAGGCGTAGAGTGTTGGGCAAAGAGGGAAAATCAATCGACGAGGTTATAAAGTTACATAGACTAAGATGGCTAGGTCACGTGGTGCGCATGCCTAACCACCGCCTCCCCCGACGGGCATTACTAGCTGATATAGGTTCAGGTTGGAAAAGAGCCAGTGGTGGTCAAACAAAAACATGGCCTCATCAATCCATGAAATCCTTGACAGTTAAACTGAGTCAGGTAGGGAGATGCAGACTCCCGGGTTGGGGCCCTCGGGACTCTACGAATCAATGGCTGGAGACAATAGGTGACATGGCTCAAAATCGTTGTCAATGGCGCAGATGTATTCAATCTCTATAATCTTTCATATTCCTTTCTACCATTACCCATTCTGTTTCACTCCTATATTTATCAAACTCTATTAATTCTCTCCACTCATCTTCTTGTCTACCTCTGTGTGCTATTTGGAACGTGGCAACTCGAACTGGTGCACTTCGGTGCCAAGTTCTATGTTGAATCCAGACAGACAGACAATTCTGAGTCATTCTATACCAATTCTATGTGGCTAAAATAAAGTCTGAGACTTTAAGGGATTAGTTTAACCAATCCTAACTCTTTCCTGGCCGAATTCTATATCAACCAAAAGTGGTCATTGAGTAGTTACCCCAACTGCAGTAGCCTCACGAGTTCATCGATCGAGTTTTCACTCCTTGCGGAAAACACTCCTATGCGTAACCTTATTATTAATGACTATATTACATCAACTAAAACAATAAATGAAATTCAGAAAGGTGTGGTGGAAAAACAGTTAGACATGCGTCAGCCGTAGGACTCAATGAACTGCTACATATATATATATATATATCAGCTCCGGCGCTCCGGCCTAGTTTCAAACGACTTAAGTTTAGGTATCAGCTGAGTAGTTGGTCTTTGTGTTTAATAATAATAATAATAATTTCGCTTTTATTCCAGAAACAGTACTAGTAGTACAGTGTGGAATTTTCAGCACATATCTACAATATTGCATCTAATTTCATCGCACATTTAAAAGGAGTATTACAAAAAATAAATATAAGAAAACCAACAAAAACAAAAAAACACAAAAATAATAAAAAATGCAAAAAATACCAAGAAGTCGAGAGGAAAATAAACGACATAAAATAATATCTCCGTATTGTGTAGTGGAAGCTATGATATGTTTATGCGTGGTGACAGTAAAGCTATAGTCATACTAGAAGTTATGAAATGATATTTAAGAATGTTTATAGCCAAGATGATCAGTTAATTTGATTGAACTACACTAAACAATCATAAAATAAACATTTCAGGTTGTGTTTTTTTTATTGTCAGCACTAATCCAGTGTTTGTTGTGGTAGTGTGAGTAATCCTGCATAATATAAATATGATAGCGATAGTGACGTTCACAAACAAGATTGTCAGTTAAATAGTGCCGAACAAAGAACAACCACAAAACTAATATTACATGATTGTTAATGACAGGACAATTTTGTAATACTCATAGTGATAATATAGTCGGGACCAGTAGATACACAAAAGAAGGAATAGAATAAAGAATAAAAAAGTAAGCCAATGATAACAATTTAGGTAGCTAAGTATTTTTAATAATAAGGTGCTCACTATAGAATACAAATAAGAGAGAAATAAAAGAACCAAAATTATGTTATTAACAACAAAGCAAGTCATAGGTTTCGCGCTTAACATTATCTCTGTCACTTAGAACACGGGCCAAATATGGTATCGTTGAGTTCCTATACTTGATTGTATGAGTATATATTATTTTGTACTGATTTCTGGTTCTACCTGATGAGATATAAGGAGACAGTTGGGAATAGAGGGGGTGTTTGGGGTCGGAGAGTATGGTTTTAGACCATTTTTCGCATGTATTCAGATGCCTTTCTACTAATGAAGTGACGAGCTGAGTTTTACACAACTAGTCCAACTAACTACCTTCAACATCCTTCTCAGGATAATATAGTCCTTTTTCAGTAGCCCAGGAAAGACTAACGGGGAGCAGTAAAGTAGAATAGGGAGGATACGAGAGTTGACAAATTGTGAAAGTAGAGGTTGGGTGATTCCAGATAGTCTAAGTTTCTTAATGTAGTAGGCTAGATGGAACACTTTCTTAGAAATCGTTAGGATATGAAACGACCAAGTAAGGTCGGAAGATAGAACTAGACCGAGGTATTTTGCATTAGAGACGTAGTTTCAATTTTAGTCCCCTGAATGCTGCAGGCTTCATGAGTACTGACTAGTGTTTGTAGATCTCGTTTATGCCTAAAGGAGAGGTCAATAGTCTGGCATTTCGAGGGATTCAGCATGAGGCCATTCAGTTTAGACCACTGACTGATGTCTGACAGGAAGCTTTTTAATTTGAAACAGTCTGACTGTGACTGAGAATAAGACCACCACCTGTCTACCAAATATAAATCAAGATTACTTCAAATAACCTAATCAGTATAAATTCTTATTAAATGTCGACCTATAGTAAAGAGAAAAGGCTAACTAGGCTACATTTTTGTTGATAAACTGAATAACTGAAATATACAGAAACCCAACATATTAAATAAATAAAAGTCGATAAGAACTTACGTGAACTTTTAAATGCAGATTGAAAATCTTGACCATTTCGAATTGACTCAAAAATGTGATGAAGATGCGCTAAGAAGAGCAAAATGTTTTTAAAAAAAAACGGCAGAACAAACAATAAACAAAACTCAATCATCAAGTGTTGGTTTGCAGAGATTTCATTGGTTACAGGATTGATCGATCACGAATCTGACATCAATTAGAGAACCATTGGAAAACCTGCAGCGAGTACTGGACAGCTGTTTCGTCCTAGTTTTGGGCACTTTATCAGTACGCAGCTACCACAAGGGTTCGAAACCCGAACCTCTCGGTTACGAAGTGACCTCGCACACCATTCACAGCCATTGAGACCCGATCCAATAGCTTCTGCCAATTCTTGATATATATATATATATATATATATATATGTACTTGAATGGTCTACGAGCTAGCCTCGCAACCGAAAGGTCCTGGTCTCGAACCCGAGAGGGTACCTACGAAACATCTGTCCAGTGGTTTTCTAACTGATACCGACTCGTGATCAATCCTGTAAAAAAGTCAGTCAGTAGAAATTGACAGATATAGGAAAGGTTAGACTTCTATTCTGTAACCCATTTGAACAGTTTAGCTTCAGTGATGACTGACTACCTCGTTTTATGAATACGCATAAAGGATAATCAATTAATGAGTCGTTCAAATAGGAAGGCTAAATAGTCTTTCTTCAGTGAGCCTATTCACATTGTATTTGTACACAATTTTCCTTTTGGTAGACACATCTAATTACCGGTAGGCAAAGGCCCTGATCAGCTGTGATTGGCCCTGATGATAGAGTAAACTGAAACCTATCCGCTGGATGATGTATAACTTGTTTACAGATGCATATGCGTGTGAGCAGCTTACATGCTGTCTGTTAACTATAAGGGTAGAATTCGTGGCAGTGTGGTAGAATACGATTCAGTACTAGATAAATTTATTTGGTGGAAGACACATTGTAATGATACAGTGCTGATACCTGGATGATGTTTCGATCACAGAGTATTGCTGTTCACAGTTATAATTAACCTGATGCTCGCTAGTGACTGACTACAACACGGGATTTCCTGGAGTTCTGTAGTGAGAAGTCGTGACCATTGAGGTCCATCCAGTCCAGGAGTTTGGATGGAGTTTCCACCGATGACATTGGTTGATGGTCACACTAAAATCACGAATTGGTAGAAGTTAGAATTCATGGGCTGGCTAGTGAGTCGGGTTCCAATGACTGGATGGTCTACGAGCTTGCCTTGTAGCTGGAAGGTCCCGAGTTTGCACCCCGCTAGCAGGTGCGTACTGCCGATGATTCGCAAACTAGGCTAAGACAGCTATCTAGTACGCCTTGGTTTTCAATGATTCTCTATCTGACATCAATCCGTGGTCAAGCCCGAAGAAAAAATCTAATCCTTACAATTCAACTCTTGGAAATTAATCTAATGCTCGCTAGTGACCTGCTACAGGATGGAGTTCTAGTAAGAAGTTGTGACCGGTGAGGTATATTCGAGTCGAGGGAGTGAGGATGGAGTTCCTGTGGAATTCTTTGCGCAAACCTTTTGACTTCTAAATGTCTAAATGGAGATATTTTTCCATTTTTGAATGCTTTTCGTTCTTTCTTTGCAAAAAATTTATAAATGGGACCACTTGTGTGTAAGGTGTATACACTTACCTAGAGAGAAAAATAGTGTACTAACAAAGCAAAGCATAATACACGAAGAGAACAGAGGCCGTAAATGAAATGTAATACAAGCCCGGAAGACAAATTCTTCAAACATTGGAGCTATGATGAAATTTCGTAAACCCATCCAATTCAGTACTCGACTTTTCCAATATTCAGCATCTAGATAGAGTAAACAGAAATTGAAAGGAGTAAATAATGCATTTATTAAAGGAAAATTCACATAAAGAATATTTTTTTCCATACAAGGAAGATTCTCATGAAAAGAAAGCAAGCAGCTCTGCTCTAAAATCAGTGGGATATATGTTTCACTGATCGATAAAGACTTCAAACACAAGCTTCTATATTTAGAAGTGTGTCTACAAACCTCCAAGCTGTTTATTAGTATTTAACATGAAGATTTGGCTCATGGGCTTACAAACTCACTCGATCTTCAGGCAAATTGCCAAGGGTTCCGAGTCCAACTCTATCTGCTTCAGCTCCAATAACTGGGTAGTACAATCAGCTCTCCTACAATATGTATGATCTACTATCTGATGAATGGAAAATCTGTTTCAGGCAATAAATGTTTAACAAAAACAGGCAGTTTTGAAAGTGATTAAGAGAGGGAAAAGAATAAGGACTGAATGACTGATGGCCTAGTTTCAACAGAAGTGCAGCAGTTCGAGTTGCCACACTCCTTCCTTGTAGAACAAAAGCAAGAGAAGAGAATAAACAGAGATTCAAAAGAGGGGTAACAAACACGAGTACAAGGGAAAAAAGAATAATATTATGGAAGAACAATAGAATCTTACTGGATATGATAAATCACAAAGGGTGTATGCATCTGCACCACAGAGAGCGATTGTAAGCCATATCAACAATTGTCTCCAGCCTTCATTAGTTCTTACCATCCTAAGAACGCCAAACAGTCAAGAAAGATACACCTCCCTACGTGGCCGGCTCAAATTAACCTCTATCGATTTCATTCATTGATGAAGCTACATTTTGGTCTGACCACGAGTAGCTCTCTCCTAACCTGATCCATCCGATGTCAGCTAACATCGCTCGTCGATCGAGGAAGGCGCTGCCTAGGCATGCATGTGTAACACACGTCCTAACTATCTCAATCGATGTAACCTCACAACCTCGTCGATTGACTTCCCCTCCATACCTAGCACTTGACCGAAGCCTGACTTCAATATTACTCACCCTATTTATCCACCTAACACCCGGGAGATAGAACGGAGACACCTGTTGTCAAAGAGTTAGTCGGCCTTTTCATGTCTTCCGATTTCAATGGCCATGTCTTACCAACAGTTATAAAGGAGGACGGAGCGAACTGCTGCTGATCAGTGCATACGCCCTTTGGTTGACAGCCAACTGGATATCACCTCCACTAAGCGAGAGATGGCGTAAGTTGGCACATGCCAAACGAGCCTTTTATATTCGTGCTGCGATTTCGTCAATCATTAACCAACTGCGACTGACACAACTTCCCAAATAAGAGTAAGGAGTTGATGATGCAGCACTATAAAATGAAGAAATGTCTTGAAATAGGATCCCTAAGTGCATCGCAACTCCTAGATTGGGGGTCTAAAAGACTAGGTTACTGAACAACTAGATAAGTGGTCATAATTACACTCCCTCTTGATACCTTTGCGATCAATGTGCAGTTTTAGTAACCGTGTTGCTTCTATCTAATGAGGTGGAGTTGCTAGGCCTATTACCGATTCTTCCTTTTTTCGGGTTTACTGTCAAGTAGCAAACTAGTCGACCGAGAGGTTCTCTGGAGATGCTTGGCTGTAAAGGGAATGCCGAGAAAATATATTACACTGAGTAAGGCACTCTACTCGTACTCATACAGCCAGGTGAGGGCTTACGGCGAGCTGTCATCTGAACTGGTGACGACTAGTGGTGTCCGTCAAGGATGCCCATTATCCCCTTTTCTATTCAACTTCATCATAGATGTGTTAATGGACTTAACCCTAAGTGACTTCAGCGACTCAGGGATTGATTTGCTACCAGGGAATAATCTCGTTGACTTAGAATATGCAGATGATATAGTCCTAATAGGCGAGGACTCTGACAAAATGCAGAGTCTTCTAAACACCTTGAGCCGTAATCTACGAATGTTTGGAATGTGATTCGCTCCCGCCAAATGCCAGGTGATGTTACAGGACTGGACTACATCGACGCCTAGTTTAAAAATAGGAAGTGAACTGGTAGAGCACGTTGATCGCTTCACTTATTTGGGAAGTACCATGAGCCAGTGCCAACGGGTTGATCTCTGACGAAATCTCAGCACAAATACAGGGGGCTCGTTTCGCATTTGCCAGTTTACGCCGACCCTGGCGTAGACAAGATGTTCGACTGTCGACCAAAGGGCGGGTGTACTGCTCATCAGTCCGCTCCGTCCTTCTTTATGGTTGTGAGTGAGACCTGGCCACTGAGAGTGGAAGATATGGAAAGATTAGCTGTCTTTGATCATAGGTGCCTGAGCTCCATCTTCCGTGTGAAGTGGTATAATAAGGTGAGCGACATTGAAGTTAGGCGTCCAGTTCTAGGTAAACAGGGGAAATCAATCGACGAAGTCGTGAAGTTACAAAGACTGAGATGGTTAGGACATGTGTTACGTATGCATGCCTAGTCATCGCCTTCCTCGACAATGGGCAATGTTAGCGGATATAGGGTCAGGCTGGAAAAAAGCTAGAGGCGGTCAAACAAAAACTTGGCACCAGTCAATGAAATCCACAACAGTTAGTTTAAGCCACGTAGGAAGGTGTAGACTTCCTGACTTGTTGGGGTCCTCCGGACGGTAAAAATCAATGGTTGGAAACAATTGGTGACATGGCTCGAAATCGTTCTCAGTGGCGCAGATGCATCCACTCGTGACTTATGATTTCCAATGAAACTGTTTTGTTCTTCGTTATTACTATTCCTTTGTCTCACACCTCTGTTTACTGTCTCTATTATGCTTTTCTTGTACTTTCTTCTCTTGATTTGTGTGCTACAAGGAGGGAGTGTGGCGACTTGAACTTCCGCACATTTGTGCAAAGTTCTATGTCGAATACAGACAGATAGAAACTAGGCAACGTTTAGGTTTACGTCAGCCGAGTATCGAACATCAACCGTATTAGTAGCTGGCAACCATTCTACCAATGAACGAACTACAGTAACTACATTGTAACCGAATTTTATTCTATAGTACCCTGACAATGAGCTTCTTGTTTCTTGTTTGTCTAATTATTCTATTACATTTCATTCATTGTTCATTTACGTGATAAATAAATACTCTCATAAAATTAACAAACGATAGAGGTCAATCTGGAAGAGAATTTTCTTAGGTATGAAAAACTACCATAAATGCTGTAGTAAACACAATGAAAAGAATTTAAATTAAATTACAAAGATATAAAAGAATGAGTTAGTGTAATTTAAGCCTGTGAATAAATACTGATGACTGTTTAACAAAGTAAAGATTTTATTGACATCTTTATAAAAAATCAACATTTTATGAAGATGAAATAAGTTACCCGAAACAGAATTTTCATATACCGAGCTATATGAACCATACTTTTTATCGTGTGAGAGCTGATAATACTACCCAGTCACTGAAAGTTGAAGTAGGATAAGCAGGACTCGAGCCTACGACCTGTTGGTTGGAAGTCAACTAATTAAGCTAATGTGAATGGATTTCAACACAGAACTATATGCAGAAATGCAGCAGTTGAAGTTGCCACATTCCGTTCACCACACAAAGGTAAAGGAAATAAGTTCAAAAGAAATATAATGAGCCAGAATGTATGGGAGAAAAAATATTAAGACAGATTTAATGAAGATTACAGAGTGAATGTATCCGCAGTATTGAAAAGAATTTTAAGCTATAACGTTAACACTCTCTAGTCACTGGTTCTTAGAATCCATAGGACCCCAACTAACCAGTTTATATCTCTCTACTTGGCTCAGACCAACAGTCAAAGTCTTCATGGATTGATTCCACGTCTTGATTCGACCACACCTAACTTTCTCAACCTACACCTATGTCAGATAAAATTCCTCGTCGAGAAAGGTAATGACTGGGTGCACGCGCAACTCGTGCTCAAGCTATCAGAAGAGATTTAGCTTCACAATCTCATCAAATGACTTCCCTTTCTTCACTCAGAACTCTTCGCCTAACCTCAATGTTGTCCACTACATAATACCGCTTAGAAAGAACGCAAACATCCAGGGTTAAAGAGAGTTCATCGGTGGCACAGAAGTTAGGACGCTCGCCGACCATGCACATGGTCCGGGGTTCCATACCCGGCCAAAGACGCACTCCTTTACCTCGATAAGCCAGAAATAATGCTGGTAAAGAGGAATGGTTGGGCATGAGACTAGCAACCTCATCCTGTAAAAATAAACACTGCTACAGAAACTTCAAGCCACTAGCTTGAGGCCCTATGTTCCACTGGGAACGTGAAGCAAAAAAATGGCTAAAAAGAACTCGTCTTTTTATATCTCCCACTTCCAATGGCCATGTCACCGAACTGCTGCGCTGTACATATATTCTTTGATCGGTAGTCGGATATCACGCTTGAGTCAGCGGGGACTTGAGTCGGTAAATTCTGCACGATCATTTTGTATGTGTGCTGAGACTTTGTCAGCAATCAATGCATCAGAACTGTTGCAACTTCCCGAATAAGTGGTCAATACATTAAAGAGTCACATATTCACCTAAAGAAAAGCATTGAACTTTAATTTATCCGCTGGTTAATCATTAAGAACAATCACGAAACATCAATGCCATAAACCCACTATCAAAATGATGGAGAAAGTTCAAAATACTGAAGGCTTTAAACAAATAGAGCATATGTACACTACCAGCATGTGCAGTAGCGTAGAACCTTCGATGAACTAAGAGAAACAATTAGTTCTGTCCGACTACCCACTGACTTTCATCACAAATAGTAATATATTAGCTTTTCTAACGGATACTTTGGTTATAGTGTACTTTATGCATACATGTATTACTTGGAGAGAAAGAATTAGAGGTAAATGAAAAAGGAAATATCTACGCTGCTTTATCCAATGTTGCCGTAAATTGTGCATCAGTAACAAAAGTGGCTTTAAATTACATATTAAAAGGATTTGCTTAAGAAAACAGTGATGTGTCGATAAGTTTACGATACAAGCACTGCCTAGAATAAATAATGATTTCTTAGGAAAACATAAAGTTTAAATTTATGTTACAGTTAAAACAAACACAAACGCAAACAAAATAAGAAAGAGAGCGAAATGAAAGCGGTAGTAGTCACGAAAATCTGAAGTACAAAGAGATAAGATAATTTATTACAATAGCCAAAGTTTAGGATACAGACATCATCTCATTGTATCTAAACTACTATGACCAGTTTTGACTCACATTAAGGTAGTCTCAATTTCAGTATCTTCAAAACATCGGAATTGTAGTAGAGTATGAAACTACATTAATTTATTTGAAGAAAGCAAAAACGACAAATAGCGTTTGGTTTGACTTCAAATATGCGACTAGGTTCTTTAAAGTACAGGCTCACTGATACTAAGGCTTATTCACAACGCATATAGATGAGAATTAGTGGGACCAGTCATCATAAACCCAAGTAATTTCATTATTACGTATTTGCCAATTAAGTGAAAAACATAACATGTAGTTACAGTATACTTGAATGTCACCTTAAACTGCACAACTACATCTTTAAACACATGGACATACATAAAACAGTTTAAACTCGTATGTTTATTTCCTCAATTCAAGTATAACGGAAGTCTAATTTACACAAGACAGGATACGTAAAAACAATGATTACCGAAAAGGGCTGATATGTATCCACAGCATATGTCATCTAAAATTACTCCGAAATACAAAACCTGATGAGTGAGAATATTAGATATAACCAAAACAAACCAGAGTTAGAGTAACAGAGATGACGATAGCTTCCAGAAGCCCATCTGATCTAAGAAAGACTTTTCCGAGCTCATAAGAGGATAACTGAAACTAAGAGAAGTTATATTTAAACACTTGCTTACCACAGGATGCTCAGGGAGATGGATGAAAGTTAACACATGAATCATGGAAATAGTGCCAGTCACAAAGACGGACATAACCCTTCTCTTGATTGTCTCTGGATGATCTCTAAAAATGACACGTTAAATTGAGAAAACTTACCTTGGGAACTTTCCTCCAGCAATATAAAGACCAAATATGAACAGGAGACTATATCCAATAGAATTGATTATTTCGTACATGATATTGCACAATTTTTTGGCTCTGGACCATACGTTGTGAAAAGCTTTAGGAAAGTAACCCTCAAATGGTATCTGTCGATAGAAATAGGCGAACCTCAGAGACTAACGAAGCCACTGAGTTTACACCGGAAGTAAAATACTATACTTGAAATTATTCCAAGATGATAGGTTACAATAATATTACTTCAGATTACGTGAAATATGTTGAAGTTATCAAAAAGATTTCCACTGAAGTTTTAGCCAGTCTTAAGAGAAGACTGGAAGGAACATTCAAATACAATATGTGGAAACTAATTAGATTCCTTAAGTAGTAGTAGTCAGAATCTAGAACTGAAAGTTTTTAAACAGCTTAAGTGAAACTTTTGTATCACTTACTAATTCTGAATGATGAAGCTCAAAAATGTCTTTAAGTATTCCTCGTAAGGAATTCAGCAAGCCCCAGGATTTTTTGATAATTTAAAAACCAAGATGCCGAGGATGGCAACCCTACATTACGACATCTTTACGTAGTGAATGAAAATTATACATATATTATTAGCTGATTTTCTCACTGGCTTTCATTTAGCTTCTTCAAACTTGTTAACATTAAAATTCCACCGCCAACTGAATAGGCATTACTTTGCTACTCCCGGGTAACACGTAAATTCTTCAGAAATAGTGAAAATACACAACAGTCTCAAATATGTCTGTCTGCCTGGTCTAAAACCACGTTTTGCTCTCAAATTCATTAAGACGAAATAAGCAAATGGATGCTATGGCATCCTTGGTTAGGACCTAACTAATATTCAAAAGAGATGATTATCATAAAGATCCATGTGATATGATTATAATTGTTGCTTAAGTTTAAGTCATTATTAAAGGCACCACTCAGCTAGCATTTTTTCCGTACGCATTGCAGACATTGTTGGCAGACTTCGGGACACTGTCCCACGTAAGTGGATTAACCCGAAGTTTTTGTCCCTAAAAGTTTGCTATGCGCCCAAAAAAAAATGTAGGAAGAAAGAAGAGTGAAGTGAGAGCCGACTGAAATAAATGTGTAGAGGATTAGATGCGGAAATAAAGAAAGTGTCTTTTACTTTAACAATGTGTAATTTAATTAAATTTTAAAAAATTTTGACTTGCTAAAGTCTACGTACACGTGGCTGCCATAGGTCCTTAACAGTATACTTTGGCACACATGACTGCTTTTCATTCTCACAATGACTCCTAAAATGTTAAAGTCACGAAACAGCCACTATATAGTCTAGTACATTTAACTTTAAACAACTTAAATTTATCATTTCGTAAGAGTAAACAATAGACATCAAAGTCAAATGACCTTGATTTGAACAGTCAGATAGCTTAGGATAATACTTGGGTACTAGTAGTAGTCCTTGTTTAAAATGACTATCATTCTACCAAAATTACTTCTTGAATCTGGGAGGCCTGAATGTATGCCACAGAACAACAAAAGAAGTACCAAAAAATACCGCAAGTACCGTCCGAATTAAAGTACCCACAAATTCTCAAGGCTTTGTATCTGGCTAGTTAAATTTAACCATTGTAAAATCATTGAACTAATTTTAACTTGGAACTTTGAATATCTGTTTTAAGTCTCTGCAGTATTTAGATGTATTTTCAGACATGTAACTGAAGTTATGGAGAGTAACTCTAAAGAACATTAATAATATATAATAAAATGTGCGTCGGTGGCACAGTGGTTAGGACTCTCACCGACCATGCACAAGGTCCGAGGTTCAATCCCCTGCCGATGCACACCTGATATCTATGGTCGGACTAAAAACTTTCGGCTACCAATATCCATGCTGAAAATTCCATACATGTACCAAAATTACAGTGTGGCATCAAGCTGTAATCGAAAATAAAAAAAATAGCTACCCGTCTCGTAAAATTGTTCACAGACCAAGAACACTATGTAAACAGCTTTTTGTAAAACTTTAAAATTAAACATAACATTTTGAGGTAACACAGAAACGAAAAGAGTTTCCTCATTCTTCGTATAAATATGTTTATGGTCTCATGCGACTAAGAGTTAGGTTCGCTGTTTCTGCTGTAATTATAATTACTGCATGATATATTCTCACTTTATCCTACATGGTAATAATAGCTTTTTTCCGACCTGTACCTTTAGTGTAAATATGGAACTTTCAGCATATAGTACAGTAGTGCATCTAAGTTTCTCATTACGGGGTAATAACTAAAACGAAGCGTTTATATTCTTATTATTGAGCAATAACAAAATGAATGTAAAATCGAGTAAGAATATCTAAAAGTGTAACAACGACAAAATGAGGCCGTTTTCTTTGAGTCCCACAGTCGGCTGGAAATCTCCTGTCTTACACTCTTCTCATCAGACAAATTTTGTGTTAAATGATATACAGCTCGACTGAAATTATTCAGCATGCTCAAGGTCATTGACGGAGTGAGACGCTCAAAGGTTATTTTCGTCCATATCAGTCGGCCATGTTGGACTGCATTTCCGTAGCCGTTCGTTTACACATCGGTTTTCCCGTTTATCCCGCATTTATTCACAATTTATCTTGTTCATAAATGTTGTGTTTCACCTCATTTTTGCTTCCGCTGCTGTTAAAATTACTAATTTTGTACGTTTCGGAAGTTTTTGCCACCAGGGCAGTGCTTTAATTGCATTACAATTGTTTCACACGTTGTTATCATGCCTGGTTGCAATGTTTCAGTTGTTTTTCAGCTACCAATGAAGTAGTTCTGCGTGGAAGTTCAGAAAAATATGCACGTGAACGTGTTAAGCTGACAAAATCCGTTGTTTTTAGTCCATTTGCTGGTTACCGTTATTGTTTCTTGCTCAACTGATTAATTGGTATGTAGAAATCTGGAAAAAGCAATGTTTTTCATATGCATGTTCACAGCTTGCAGCAATCCGCGAGTCAATCTGGTGAGGAGAATACGATCAGGTTTGATATTGGCAAGGTTTACGAAAAGCATATCAAACCTGGAGATTCCAGAACGTGGTTTGAATTTGAGAATGGTTTGAAGCTTTTCGAGAAGCTGAGTATACCATCAGTGTATATTATCAGTTAAAGAATCAGATATATTGTCAGAGAATCTATATCGAACAAGGTTAAGAAACATGAGAAGTATGAATCTGTTGTGCCTGTATGTAGTTTTGGAAGTGAAGGAGACTTGAAAGCAATGAGAAACCCCTGAATGGCGTTACCTATCCATATTAATGCCCAATGTACTAGATCCAAATACATGAACTAAGACCGCCTGTAGCAAAGCCATTGTTAACGGCAGTTCAATGTGTTACAAAACCACTTCAAAAGCGGATAACATGATGATCTGGTGAGTGCAGGAACTATCCCAGTTAAAGGTAAGACTTTAATTAGCGAGAATAATATTCGGATTGTGATCTACAACAAGCTGAGGAGCTGATTATTATTAAGGGTGAAAATATTGGCTGAATACAGATTGCTTGTTTCATTTCAAATAATGAAATTCCTATTTTGTGGATGTTTGTGATTTCTCCGTAGCTATAAATACGGATGCCCATGATCTTTAAGAAAACTAAATAAATTTTCCTGAAACCATTGGTTTTCTTTTTCTTGGTGAAACATCTGTTAATACTATTAGAAGAATAGGTAGCAAAGTAGGACTTTCTACGAATGAGAATCGTACTCGTCGTGTTTCGGATTAATTTCGCGCTTGTAAGTGTTATAATCATATGGATATATTTCTCCCTCATTATGATATCTAGAAGTCATAGGCATACTGTCATCGGTAAATTTATTCTTACTTTTAAAGTGACTGAAAATAGTGAGTCATTTGAGGTGATAGGATGATTACCTCTAAACGCTTTCGTGGAGACTAGGAAATATCCACTTTTTCGATTAGGAGATGATCTTTTCACCAAGAAGGTTCCCAGGATGCTCACTTTTACTTTGAAATTCAAAGATAACGTTAAGTTGCTCACTGAGGTAGTAGCTAAGGGTGATTACCTTCAACGGAAACCACTTTAAGGTAACTATGTAGCTTTAGGTAATGCGTCAAAGAAGTAAGCAGCCTAGGTTAATTGTGTCCAAATATATTAAACGTTGTATAACTGGTCAAATTGAAGCTCTTACATACTAGTTAGTCTTATAAATAATGAATGCATCGTACAAACGTTTACTTTGATTTGCATACCTAGCTCATAAGCATTATACCTGCATGTGGTATACATTTAAGGCTGATACGCTGTGTGATGAGTTCTTCGAAACACGGTTGTATCATGATTAAAGCAAGAAAAACAGGTCAAGTATAGGTAAGATGCACGGACTGACAAACTGTAAGAGGAGGGGATGAGTTATGCTTGAGTGCCTTAACTTCTTAATGTGAACAGTCAGACGAAATATTACTTTAGAAATCGCTTAGACATGGGAAGACCAGGATTGGCCAGAAGAAAGAATTAATCCAAGATACTTAACGTCGGACTTGATTTCTATATCACTCATCAATTATACAACGGTAATGGGAATTAACAGGTCCATTTAAGTTTCTTTTACATCTAAAACTGAAATTAACTGCCTGACATTTGGAAGGATTTAGTTTAAGGCCGTTAGACGAAGACCATTTGCTAATTCCTGATAGAAAGCTGTTCATTTTAGTACTGTTTAGCTGGGAGTTGACAGACACTGAAATAGTTAGATCATCGGCATACTTAACAAAGTAGATATTCAAACACTGCAGTTGTTGATCATAGAAATGATGGATATTAGATAACATCACATGATTTAACAGCATATCAGAAATAAATAAAAATTGTTTCTTAGCTCGTCGCCAAGTAGACAGTCTATTTGAGGATGCCACTGCATATTAACTGATTAATGAAGTAGATATCAACCCTAATTTCCTACATTTACTTGTGCTACATACTTGGCGTTTAGCAGTATACAGACTTGCAATTGGCTAAATAAGACGACTTTAGCGTAACGAACATTACGGAATTATTATTCAACTTGCTAAATACTACTTAGTTTTTACAA